GCCGCACCCCACATCATCACAATGAGTCAACCATCCCTGTCGTCCGCTGCGACGCCCTCGTCTCAGCTGCCAGCGCTCGCTCCAAGCCCGCATTCCTCCTCCTCCTCTCCCTCCCTGTCTCTCCCATCTGTGCGCGACCTACTTCTATGCCCGTTCCGCGCGTCCCAGGTATTCTCTTCCATCCCCGCCTCCTGCCTGCATAGCCTCACCCTCCTTCTCATCAAGCTGGTTCGTGCGGCATCGGCCACCACGGCCCCGGATGACACTCACCGCGCCTTCCTTCACCTCCATCTTCTCCCAGTCGCCGTCCTCCGCCGATCCTTTCGCGGAGAACCCGGCTGGCGCTCGCGTACCGGTCAGCATCACGCCCTCCGCCAACGTATCCGCCGCGCTTCCACGGGCAGACAATGGTCTGCCTTGTGGCGCGAAGCCCTCGCAGCACATCAAGCCGATTTGGACTAGCACACCCGCCATACCCGTCGTTCCCAATCCTCCACCTCGTCGTGCCGACGCATCGCGCGCGCTATGCGTCTCGCCTCTGAGGCCCAATACGGCCGAGCCATGTCGGCCCTCAAGGCTAAGCCACTGGCGGATCTCAGCGCTTCTGCCACGCGCGCCGCCCTCACCGCCTTTCACCCCACCCCAGCGTCTCCAGTCCGCCCGCTCCTGTTGACTCAGCTTCTCCCGCCACCTGACATCACGGAGGGACAAGTTCTACGCGCAGCACGTGCCTTGAATCCCACGTCCCCCGCAGTCCCTGACCGCCTATCCCCGCGCATCCTCCAGCTACTTGCCCGCACGACCCTTAGCCCTGAAGCTGGAGTGACTGGGCTGTCTGCCCTGACGCGCTTAGTTCGGCGCCTTGCTCGTGGGGACATTCCAGATCAAACCGCGCCCCTCCTTGCCGCTTCTAAATTGATCCCGCTGCAGCCTCGTCCGGACAAGATTCGGCCAATCGCTGTAGGCCAAGCCCTACGTCGCCTTGTCACCAAAGTCCTCCTGCCGCCCGCCATCGAGGACACTCGCGATTGGCTCCTCCCCGAGCAGTTGGCAAATGCCGTCCCCTCGGGGATGGATGCCATAGTGCATGACTGTAGAATGCTAATGCGCCGCCACGGTCGGGATTCAAACTACATTATGGTCTCTGTGGACGCGCGAAATGCCTTCAATTCATTCTCTCGCCAGTCATTGCTCTATCGCCTTCCGCTTCAGACGCCAAGCCTCGCTCGCTTTTTGAATCTAATATACGGCCGCACAGTGCCGGATCTACATCGCAAATTCTTGCAGAGGATCTGTCGGCCTCTGTTGACCTTCTCTACAGGATCCTTGCATGTATGTAGCCGCCCAACATGTCAGCTACAGACCGGTCTACACTTTCAATTGTAGCTCTTTGCTGCAGACATGCCACACCGAGGCCACAGAATTCGGCTGTCAGTACCCCGCACTCAGGACAATTGTACCCTCCAGCCATGTCGTTCGAGCCCATAAACGTGCTGACATCAGGTGCGGACAGCAGGGCGTCGGTGTTCTACATGGACGACATCGCTGTTATATACTTCCACTTGGTCCAATAGGGACCCTTTATCGTTCCTCTTCTCCACTGAAAATGTTTCAATAATCTATGTGCTAGGACCGTATACGATGGTTTCAAACCTCCCGATTGCACCCCCTTCCGCCCTATGCACAACCCCGACACTTCACTCCTTGGGTTTTCTTTTTGCACCATTTCCCCGGCATCGTCCTCATGTATTCTATCACCTTCTCCCACAGAGGCCTTTCGAATCCATGTATCTAACAGCTTCCGTCTCTTAAACCTTCCCATTCTCATTTAACTAACTTCATGCAACTATGCTGCACTCATCTCCCCAAGTGCTTCTCTCTTCGTATCTTCTTCCATTTTCCCATCCTTCCTGGGCATGAATCAACAGCACCAGCCATTTTACTTCCCGACTGCCGCCTTCTTACCCTACAACTTCACGGATCCAACAAGCACCTTAAACTCATCTAGCCATCCACGAGATTGGTCCCCAGAGTGAACAAACACTCTACCTGCCTTCCAACCATCCGTCACTGCCTGTGCTTCTTCATCAAGAACAGTT